AGCCGAGGTGTGCAAGAACAATGAAACCAAGTTGTGCAAGAACAAAGGGACCAAGATGTGCAAGAACAAGAGAACCAAGATGTGCAAGAACAAGGAAATCAAAGTTCAGAAAATGAATACTATACAGAAAATGAAGAGAGACAATATAGTGCTAAGTCAATCAAAAAAGAACTTAGAGATTCAAGTAGCAATATTATCAATGCAAATTTTACTGGTATGATTAATCTATTATTTATTCTAAAGTAACAAATATTCTTAAATTTTGTTATGTACTTTGTTATATTATTTAGATAATAGTTAACTAACTAGAGCAAAAAATATATCTAAGAGATCAGCTAAAAAATCAAAGAATAAAAAAACAAGTTCAATCTCATCATTCTCTTCAAAGGCGTTCAGCTAATAAAAAAAACCAATTATTTAATTTTTTATTTTTAAATAAATAAAAAATTGTTATCATTTATGCGTATATTAAATTAGATTAAAATGAGAATATATTCTGTATAACAATAGTATTATTTCAATTAAATTTGCTATATATTTAAAATATATTGTATGTAAAGTTTTACATGTATGGAATAATTATTAAATAAATTTAATAAATTAAATTTATATTTGCTAAACATTAATTATATAAATATGGTATAAATACTTTTAATATTGTGTATAAATTTAATAATTAAATTTATATTTTCAGAATGTTATATATACAAATATAGTATAAATATCTTTAATATTCTATACAATTTATAAATAAATTTGTACTGAAATGTTGCATTTTTGGTACAAATTTAATATAAATTATACAATAAATTTTACAGTATAAATTTTAAACATATTTAAAATAAAATTTTTTATTAGGTAACTGCTATCCACTTTCACCTATTAAATATACACCCTGTCCAGGATGCCATCTTAACTCTAACAGAATAGGCTTAGTCTATACTTTAAAAGTATCTGCTAGTATATTTGCACAATTCTTTGAAAGAATTATACACAACCAATTCAAATTTAATGCCAATTACATTGATCTTATATTCTCTACAGTAATCAAATATCCGTTACCAAATTTTACTTTACCAGCACTTTTTACTATCCCAATAGTAGACTCAATTGCTACTTCAATCTTTCATCCAAGTGAGCTGATAACTAAACTTAAAGAGATATCTATCAATAACTTGAACTCCAACTTATTTAATTTCTATACTAATGGATCTGTCATCAATATCAGTACTAAACACTGTATAATAGATATAGGCTGGGTTTAAGTTAATAATAATGACCAAATTACTTCTCAATTAATGCTTAAATTAAGTTTTAGCTATCCTTCTACAAAGCAGAACTTCTGACTATTCTATCAGTGATTTCAACAACTCCTCGTAACTCTACAATTAATATTTATACAGATTTCTAATCTATTATTTCTAAATGCCAAAAACTTATATCTTCTAATTTTAATCTAAATAGACTTTTTAAATTTAATGTATGACCAATATGGCATATAATTCATAATATGGAGTCTTTGCCTTGAAAATCACCTTCTGACATTTCTGATCGGGTTAATTTGGACAAAAATAAAGCCAAATGCTTGTTCATATTCATATGTTAATCATCTTTTGCTTTTATTGATTCAATAG